GTGGGATGTGTTCGTACATTCTGTCCTTAAAGAATGAAAGATTATTATTTAATAGTTTTTATGGACTATGCATTTAAGTTCTAGATGGCCTTAAGGAGTTTATATGGCGACTTTCTTGTTACAACTGCATATGCCACCTTAAGTACTACTTAGCTGGCAGAACAAATGAAAAGGCTATCTTATATTTAAATGTTAAGAAGATAAAACAAGCAATTTATTCAGAGACAAACATTGAAGAAAATCTGAAAAACATTCAGACATTAGCAAGCATAGGCTGAATGCTTGGTGATATCTGAATGTCTCCACTACAACTCCTTGTATTAATATCTTTATCTATGGGGTTATGAACCACAACGGCACTAAGACCTTCACATCACCATAGTAACATCTTCTCTGTCAGAAAGATACATCCAAATACCTAATAAAATTGCTGATATGTTAGTATTCCAGCTTTATCCATTATGGGAAATATGTCAAATTGTGACAATTTAGGAATTAGGACAGTTTAGTGTTGTGAGGTGCAGAAAATGACCTACTAAAATCATTTAAGAAATAATAGTAAACAAAATTTCTATCCTTAAATTCATCTTGTCAGGAGATTGATTCTCACTAATTTATTGAGTGACCCAGATTTTCATCCATGGAGGACACTAAAAAGTCCTTAATAAAACATAGAAACAAGTGAGGCATTTGGAAGGCTTTCCAAAATGACCTTCAGAAAACAGACACAAAGCTTTTGGGAGAGATTTTCTGGTGAATATGACTAGTCATTCACAAAAAGAAATGCCAGCTTTGCTGTCAGCAAAATGACACCAAAACTTTGTGTATAAGCAAACTTAACATATTACATTTAGCAGAAATCACCTACCACAGGAGAATGCCAATTTACAACTGCCTGTATAATTCATATTTTTTCTGCCTTATAACTCCTATTTCTGGGTGTCTTTATGAGTAACATCTACATAAAGGTTTGTTTTCTTCGGGCAGTCAACTGTAATTTCCAGAAAGGGCTCTGCATCATGTTTGTGATTTTGGCATAGGTGTCATACTAAAAATAGATAAAAATAAGAATAAAAAATAAGCTATGTATATATTCTTTAAAAATACTCTGAACCTCTGTTTTACAGTATTCGCAGTTTTCTATTTTCACCAAAACGTTTCTTCCTATTGAAAGCAAGGTGAGTACAGTATGGAGAAGCCATTTGCTCAGTCATATTTAACAACTTCTCATTCCTAGAGTCACTATTTCCATATTTTACAATTGTAGGCGTAGTTTGGCAATTTAAATTTTGGAAGCAATGACTTTTAGCTTCAAAATCTATTCAGATTCAGTGCTATTTGCCTCTTAGTCTTGAGATTCAACTCTGGAACTTTAACAGATATCAAGAAGTTAACGCATTGACTGCTGTGTTCTCTGTTTAATCTACTGATGCTGTATTTAAAATCTTTTAACGTAATCCAGGAAACATGAGCTTGAAGCTCACTAGCAACTGTAGATACCTGTGTACAAATGGGCCTAGTGAAAGTGTCTTTCATTTGATCTTAGAGATCTTGGCTTAAATTTCAAAAAATCAAAAATGTCACATTATACCATTTTGTAAGAGAGCGACTGTAGAGAACATTTCAATGTAAGGCCTCTCTCTTGCATCCTATGCTTTCTCGTATGCTGGTCTGGTGAAACGTTTATATTATATTGATTCTCTCTGTATTAGCTATTCCTTTAGACTCCCTTGTAATCACTACGGTTTTCACTTATGCATGATATTTTCAGGGGAAAAAAAAAAGAAGAAAAAAAAAGTTAAAAAAGTGTGTTGTAGCTGACCAACCATCGTAAGGTATCATATGATTTAAGAACCCTAAATTTTAATTTTGCTGGCATGCAAGGTGGGAAAAGTCAGAGTACTAGAACATGAAAACCAGATAATGTTATCTCCTCTGCCAAGGCTGCAAATTTAGAAATCTGAGAGATTAGTACAATGGATCAGTGTCAAGTACACCTATTTTCCCATCATTGCAGTGGTTCCCTTAACACACTTTTGTAAAATCACTTCTGCAATATCATTCATCTATTTCTGTCAGCTAAAAACTGTTGGGTCCCCAAATCCCAGGCCAACTGTGGTTGTTTTGCAAAGCATGCAGTGGAATTTCAAAGTTTCCATTAGACCAGTATATTTCCGTGATGCCTATGTGTACTATATGGGCATATCATTCAAAATTATATTTTAGAGTCTAGTGAATTATTGAAATAAATCCAAGAACTTCATAAAGCCCAGTAGAGTCTTTTCACCAGCAAATAAATGTTTACAAATTTCTGATCAGTTCAAATGAGAATTCAGGTGCTTCTAAAACCCCATCCAGTGTCTGAAAGTGTATTCAAAAGTTTTATTATTATGAATAAAAATATATAAATATAAATGTAAATGTAAATATAAATATAAATGTAAATGTACATATAAATATAAATATAAATAAATATAAAAAATATAAATAATTTCTTCATTGTTAATGGACCAACACTGTTCAGGAAGTAACTTAGCATTTCCATTTGTATTTTGGAGTTTTAGCTCTTGGCTGAAACGCAGAAGCAGGAGGTATAGAAAAGTAAAAACATTAATTGCAGTTTGATAATATAAATAGTCTGAGTTTAGATAAAGATTTTACAGTCATTACATTACTTTTTTCTCACTACTCATTCATACATCACTGTATTTTTGACAGCAAAATTTTTTGGTAAGTCACATAATGGCGATATCCCTTCAGAGTCAGCACCAGCAAGACCAAGTATTCAATTTTCTTAAAGTCCCTAAAATTTATTGCCCGAAACACATATCAGTAGTTCTAATTAATAAATTAATAATTAATTGGGTGTTTTTAGGGTACTGATTGAGTAAATTCTGTTCTCCTTGAACTGTTAACAAACCCACAGTGATGGCTGCTTTATATTTGAACTACCTCTAAGCTAAAGCAATTAGAGAGACTGATTGCTTTCTATTTGAATCAGTAACAGGTGTCTTATTTAAAACCCATACATTTTGCTTGAACTTGTATGTTCATCATCATTTTGTATCATTTTATGCTGTTATGAATAATTTCTGCCAGATCAGAAATACATTGTAGCAAAATGTGACATTGAAATTTTCAGACAGAATTGTTTTGGACTAGTTAGTGTTTTGCCTGAAACATAACAGAAGAGGAAGGAAATTTTGAACATTGTGAGAGCAACTTGAGCTCTTTGTGAGCCCAAAATACCTTAGGGTCCTGTGATCACTCAAGGTTAGAATTAAATCTGGAAAAGGGACTTAAGCAAAAAACAATGTGTACAACAACTGTTTGGAAAAGTCTTCTTATACTGTCCATTAACTATGTTTATTCCTTTAATACAGCTTTTTTCACTAGTGCTACATTTTTCTTCAGCTGTTTTTTTTCAGAAACTAGATTGAGTCTCTTCAAATTAATCCAAATCATCCTCTTTTTTTCTCTATAGAGCTGCTTTCACTGTTGTTTGAGAAACTGGCCAACATGGTTTTCCATTCCTTTTTACCACCCTATGTCAGGGGTGGTATAAAACATAAGAATGGAAAGGACCAATTAATTGAAAAAAAAAAAAAAACATACCCGACAGAGGCATAATTTTTGTTGTTGTTGTTGTCGTTGTTGTTTTTTTGTTAATGTATTTCACACTTTTGGTACTATGAATAACCATTCCAGTCTGTCTCCTATCATTAGGATCAAATCACTCAGAAAATTCAAAAGTTTGAGGTGTTTCCTCTCACCCCTTTTATCTTTTTTTCCTCCAATTAACTTTTTGTCAAGAAGACATTGTTGGACTAATGAGAATAACTGTATGAGAGACAACTAGACATATATATGGGAGATGATTGTGATTTTCATATTGCTTCTGAAATTGATAATAGTCACTCAGCCAGTGTCTAAAAACTTGGCACTGACTATACTAGTGAAGCACGCTGGATCTTGGAGCAGTAGTAGGGATTTTACATGCCTGAATTAGCCTCAGATTTCTGATTTTCTGAGCTGAATCTTCCAAGATGATCACATGGGAAGATTACAGAAGCTGCCTAATAGCTAATATGTCAGTTTAAGGCATAAAGAATACTTTTTAAAGTGTGAAAAGCAAATGAAAACAGCGGAAAATAAGAATCCCATTAACTTTACTGATACTTCTAGTGTAGGGCCATTAATGCATGTAGATTTGTAATAAATCATGATATAATCCCATATCAAATAATAGAAAATTGTCTCTTTTTATACTTTTATACTTTTCAGAATGATTCACAGGATAAAAATAAGAACCAAGATACTGGTTTCAATTATAACTTAAAAAAACCCACTTTGATTAGCCTTTGATCTGCTCAGATTATGAGGCATGGCACTGGCTACCTTTAGTTTCAGGAATTATTCTTTCATCCCAGGGTTTTAAGCTGCATGATAGGCAGGCTTCTGAGATTCCGCAGTGAAGCAGATATAGTGCAGTCTATACAGTAATACTGCTATATACTATTTTATATTACTGTATAGACTGTACTATATGGATTGAACAACTAGAATGTGCTGATTAAAAAAAAAATAGATGTTCAGAATAAAACTGTTTACCCACACACAGAAAAAGCTCATTGCCAGCTCTATAGCAAGTACCACATTCACTGAAAAGTTGAGCAAAAATGGACATAAGTGATTTGTATATTATTTCTGGCTTAACTAAGATAAGAATAAGAAGGAGGGAAATATATAAGATTTTGGGAATTATTTCTGGGTCTGACAAGTAATTTAAGTAATTTCCATCTCCTATGCTATCTCCAAAATCCCAAGGAAGGAAAGAGTCCTCTTCTTATTTTCTCTTGCAAACAAATAAAAAGTTTTATAGAGATTTTGATTTTTTTTTGATTATTTAAATCAATTTACTGAAAACATCGAGTGTATCCATTAAAAAGACATAGCATTTTTTCCATAATTGCTTTCTTTTATTTTCTGTTTTCTTTCAGAAATCATCTATAGCTGGGTATTTAATGAATTCCCATCTTTTGTGGCAGAAGATAGCAGACGTTTCATCTCTCAGGAGACAGGCAATCTCTACATCTCCAAGGTGCAAACATCTGATGTGGGCAGCTATATATGCTTGGTAAAAAACACAGTGACAAATGCCAGAGTTCTGAGCCCTCCTACACCTTTGACGCTGAGAAACGATGGTAAGGCATCATTTTGGGGTACCAAATAAAACAAAAATGCTAAGTCGAAAGTACTGGGTAACAGTTATTTTACAAACTTTGGCTAATTTAAGAACCACGATTTTATTGTTTGTAAATATATGAATGCATTTACTGCAGCAATCAGCAAAGGAGTGTCCATGGAGGCAGATGCTTTAAAAACATTTAACACTTAGGAGAATATTAGACCTTCAAAGTTTGAGATGTGATCTGACAGCTCCTGAAATGCTTTGTTTAGAACAGTTATTCCTTTTTGCTATTCTGATGTTTCAGCACCAATATAAAGAGAAGCAAATCTGCCTTCTCAGTATCGTTTAGCTCTATAGGGGTGAGCTCAGTTGCCCGAGCACAGGTAGCTAGTGGCTCTCAGGCATCTAAGACATCTGCAGGGCACATGAGAAGCTCTCAGGCATCTAAGACATCTGCAGGAGGTTGGTAAATATGACACAGGACATAAAGGAGACCTGTGCCCTTATAGGCCAGCAGCTTGGGGCCTGAAGGCATGCCCTCCAGCATCTCCAGTGACACAGGACACGTGTGGTTAGGCAATGGAATGGATTCCCTAATGCTTGTAACTTAACCCATCACTATACTAAAAACTTCTCACACTTCTACACTCTGATTCAACGTCCTGATTGAGCACTGCCTACAAACACCATGGTGATTTAATTACAGTGATAGATAATTAGCTACGTGCTTTTGAATTTCATCAGGGTTTGTATCTGCAACTTTTTTTTTTTTTTTGAAATATATACCTTATTTTTGAAAAGTGGCTTAGGAATTAGAGTTCCTGAATCATTTCCAAAAATCATTTCCAAACATCGTCCAATAATATACCCCACAGAGCAGTATAACTGGTGTGTATCAGATACTGTTAGAAGAGTTGCCAATAGAATCAACTGTGTATTGGCTATTTTGAAGACAGAAGATTTGTATTTATTTTAATATAATTTCCTGTATTTTCCTTTTTTTCTCATGATATGCCGTGTTTAAAGATATTTTCCAGCTCTTCAGAAATACATTTCATCAATCAACATATGTGAATTCATACTTTTATAAATCAGAGAGAGAGAGACTGGCTAAGGCTTTTGTCTTGCTCAGATTTTTTTCTAACACTTAGACTATCCCTGTGCTGTAGCATCTTTACAAAGACTGTACTTTAATAGAGATAACTTGGTTTAATAGATTAAATAAAAAATGTATTCACAGATTAGACAGGATTTAAGTTAATCTTTATTTCTGGTAACTAGATTGAAACTCTTCATGTCTGCACAGCATGAGTCCTCTGCAACAAAAAGCTGCATGTTTTACTGTGTAATTTCCTATTTTATTAATCATTGTTTAGTACCTATGCTAATTATTGAATTTTAGCTGTTTAGTTTTATTTAAAAGTTTTCAGGAAATAATTTTTCAATATTTCGTCCTTTGAGAATAAAAAAAAAAAATAGTTACTCTGTCTTTTTAATCAGCTAAAACTGTCAAGTGAATATAGAATTTTATAGTATCATATTTATTAGAAATATCTTACACTTCTGTTACTTTACAACATATTTTTTCATGCTCTTGCTTGGGTTCCCTGTGTATGCAGAAACTCAGCAGTTTACACATAATAGGCTAATAGTGTATAGGCAGACTTATTACAATATTAGAAATGTAGGAAGTAAATAAAGATAAAGGCAACAGTCTACAAGTCTGTGCTAAGAGCTGAAATCTGCAGATTTTCCTAAATGTCAAGTGTGTAGTATGTGGCCTCAGGCAAGTCGAAGCTTCATGGCTGGCTGTCAGACAACGGTGATGCTCCAGCCTTCTGAGCAGTGCTGGAATAAGGGGGGGACATTTGCACATAGATGAACTGGCTCCTGAACATTTTCCCAGTTCCTTTTTTACACATGCATGCTTTTCTACCAGGCATGCATGCCTTAATTTTTATCTATTGAGATTTTTGAAAAGCCCTTTTATTATTATGGAGTTCTTTGCTATTCACTAGTAAATTGCTTGCTTTCCTTGCTTGTCTGAGCAAGTTTCTCAGTGCAAATCCAGGCCTTTCCACCTAATCTTGCAGGCTTCATAAAGCTACTTGGAAAAGAAACATTAAGGAAAATTCTATGATTTAGTCTCCAGGACATTTACCTTCTCCACGGAATGCAATAATATGTGGCTTTTAAAACATACCTAGAAATGAAATAAAATAGCCAATTAATAATATTGCATTTTTTGTTTTTGTTACAAGTTTCTTCAGGTCATATTGCCTTGCTTAATGACAAATGTTAAAGGCTGGTGACAGAATTTTAAAAATATTTATAGATTATAGACTATAGCTGCTGAATAAAAGGTGCTTATTACAGTTAAAGAAAATAATAATTTGTAAAAGAGAGAGATGAGAGTACACTATCATAAGCACATGAAAAATTCATAATGGCTTTAGAACAGACATCTATGTACCTAAAAATTGATTTACTACTATGTGGATAGTGATTTTGAACATGGCTTACTTTTTGTTAAATATTTAGGTTATAAAATGAATTGAATCACTTCAAATCATTTTTCAAATATTCACTTAAGTCCCAAAATCATACTGGTTCCTGAGTTCTAGTGGTCAGCATACCAAATGGCATTTGTCGCACTCAGTCAGCACAATTATCAGAAACAATGAGAAAAGACTTTCAATTTTAAACAGCTTTTACAAATAGAACTATATAAAGGAATATATATATATGCAGTTTCATTCATTTGGCACATGTATACATTACTTCAGAAGTCTTCTACTTGCTATATTTATCATTTTCCCATGTTTGGAGGTTTTTTGGGGATATAAAACAGTACCTATTCTCAGGGGACTAGGTAGCTTGTGACATAAAGCTCCTGGAGAGAACATGGCACTGTTTTTATCTATGAGGAAGACACAGAGTAATATCAAGGCTTTCTGCCAAACTCCACAAGAATGTAGGAATTTCCTTGCCTTTTATTAATCTTTTATTTCTTTGGTGATGTGTCTCTAAGGGGATCTTAGCTTCTTGATATGAAGCAAATTAAATAAAAACATCAAGAAATCCTTCGATGGATTCTGAATAAAATGAATACCTCATTTGTTCAGATATCCCTGACAATCAGTCATTTCGTACAATTCAATTTCGCTTCAAGCTGGGTTGTAAAAACACTTTAAAATTCTATCTGAGGAGATAAAAATTTTTATCAGAAAAAAGAAAAGCATCATTTCATTAACTGCCTTTATTATGCATTAGAAACGTTGAGGAATTATTTAGTAACTGTTTACAAATAATTTTAAAAAATTGTTAAAATTGATCTTCCCAAGCATGGATGATGATTGGGTGGAGTAAAGTATCATGGCTAATAAAAACAACAGAAAGCCTCCACAAATTTAGGAAATAGAAACCTGGAGAGTATAAAACATTTGATGTACTATGGCAGTTGTTCCAAATCAACACATTTACATTCCAATTTCTTTTCTATCTTGCTTTTATTTTTCTTAAATGATGCAAGCATCAACATTATTACAGGAGAGAACTAAGATGTTCTTCATTTTATCCTTGTGTTGCAAGTGCCTAGTCCTTTTACTGCGGTGAAGTTTCCAGAAAATAGAAAACCTGTAGCATTTCAGGCACCAAAGGATACCTTCTTCTGTGCTGCATGAGAGTAAATCTAAACTAACTCGACTGAAGTCACTATATCTGACCAGATATGTTCTCATGAAACTGAATGCAGAACCAGGCCTCCATAGTTTTTCAATGTCATTACGGTTCTGTGAATTGAATTTTTTCTGACCTGGTTCTGTAGATCATGGTGAGACACTTCATGTGATGAATTGATTTTCTTTTTCTACTTGCATTACTGGTTTATCTGCTGATGCATTTGTTCATCAGGGACGAAATTCTAGAACACACAAACTGTGCCTGGATTGCAATAAGGTTGATAACACTTATCCAGCTGTGGTTTAATCCTGTCAGGTAGATACAGTATCTAACATTATGTTACATTAAGTTGCATCTATTAAAATTTCACATAAAAAAATATTGGTGATATTATAATTAATGACTTAACTAGGATTTACGCAAAGTAACAACAAAAATAATCTTTATAGCCGAAAATGTCTTCAGATTGTTAAGAATGGTCATATCTAACATTATATGCCTTACTACCCTGGGGTCTTCACATGTGACTGCTTGTTTTGCTATGATGGGATATGGCAGGGTTCAAATAAAAATGGCTTGTCATTTTGGTGATCTTGTCAACATAGTGAAATAATTTGATTTTGAACAGTAGGCTGTTAGCTTGGGGATAGGAGTGTAGTGAGTTTGTAACAAGAATGGTTTGTTTCTGCTGACTCAGTAATAATGGCTCTTGGAGGAGAAATGCTTAGTGTTAGTAAGACTTCTAGGAGGCAGGGACAATAAAATTGGTCATTGTCACTAACTGATTTTTCAGGCACATGTAAAGAGAAATCTCACTCCAAACTATAAATAGAAATTTTGGACTCTCATTTGAAGAACTAGAGAAAATACCACTACTCCTTTCATTGCTTATTCTGAGCTTACCTCATTGCCTCTGTGTCCTTAGCGACTGGCTCCAGTCTCCTTTACCTCAGTCATAGTGAACTTACACTTTGAAAATAAAGTGCTCTTAGTTGCACTGTTTTGGTTAAAAGAGCTAGAAAGCTTTTTTGAGTATGTATGACACCTTTATAAATAACTAAAATGTATTTCATGCCAGAAATCCCATTTCTCAAAAGGTGAGGGATACTTAGATGGACTTCAGAGAATAACTGCTGGAGCAGTGAAATGGGGTGGAAATATTAATTTTAAAGTGTAAAGAGTTATGCTGTATTTAAATATCAATTAAACAATTTGTTTTGTTTAAACATGTCCTTCTTTTACATTTATACCTTCATACTTAGAAATATATAAACATATTTGCCCTGAATTATAAAATATATAGGAGCTTATTCTTTGCTATGCTCTATTCAG